TGAGTAGCTGGGACTACAGGTGCTCACCCCCTCCCCCGCACTGCCCAGCTAATTTTCTATGTTTAGTAGAGATGGGGTCTCACTCTTGCTCCAGCTGGTCTCCAACTCCTGAGTTCAAGTGATCTCCCGGTTTGGCCTCCCAGGCTGTTAGGATTACAGGCGTGAGCCACCGCGCCCGGCCTGCACAGGCAGTTTCTTCTAAAAACTAAACATACACCCACTGCATGGCCCACCAATTCCATTCCTAGGTATTTACCCAAGAGGAATGGAAGTCTGTATAAATGAGCTGTGTGTGAATGCTCATAATGGCTTGATTCGTAATAGCCCCAAAGTAGAAACAGCCCGGCAGGGTGGGCAGAGCATGCTGGATTTGCCCACTGCACGTGTGGGGGTCATTGCATCCCTATGAGACCAGTTGGGGTTGATGAAATTAACTGGTTCAAGAGTGATAGGATGGGAATGAGTACAGACCATGAATGTAAATGAATTTTTGAGTGTTATCTTGCTGAAAATGGGAGTGAAAAAGAGGCATGAGAGAAATAGAGTTCAAAGGGTATTTTTAAGGGCAGGATTACTAACAAGGTGTCTTAGTCTGTTTGGGCTGCTGTGACAGAATACCTTAGACGGGGTCATTTATAGACAATAGAAATTTCTATCTCTACGTTTTGGAGGCTGGGAGGTCCAAGATCAAGGTACTGGCAGGTTTGTCAGATAGTCAGGGCTTCATAGATGTTTCCTTCTAGCTGCATCCTCATGGCAGAAAGGGGCAGGAGCTCTCCTTTATAAGGGCACTAATCCCATTCACAAGGGTTCCAGCCTCACGACCTGGCCACATTCCAAAGGCCTTACCTCTTAAACCAATCACTTTGGGATTAAGATTTCAACACATAGGTTTTGGAGGGACACGCACTTTCAGACCGCAGGACGAGGCGTTGAGGCTGATGCTGACTGCGGAAGTGATGCTGCAGGGGTGGAAAGGGTCCCTGCGGAAGGCACGTTACCCATCGTAGTGGGAGGGCGGAGTGCCGAGGCCTCACTACAGACAGGTGGGGAGATGCTCGGCGTCTCTACAGCAGTAGGGTGTGGAGCAGCTTCCACAGTCCATGCCCCTTACCTGCCTTCCAGGCCAGGCCATGGCTTCCACCAGGAGCATGCGAAACCATGGTGATACCTGTGTGGCTCACCAAGCTGCAGTTGGGGCAGACTCAGTGGACATGTCATCCTCTCCACTCTGCAACAGCCATGGTGGCTTGAAGGCTGGGCTGGGTCTACCTGAAGACCCCCTCCCCTGTCTGGTAGTTGACGCTGGGGAGCCCCAAGCAGTGGGGCGTGGGGACACTGGGCATTCATGGGCATCTCTACCTCTGGTGGGCTCTCCACGTGGCCTCCCAGCACAGCGGCTGACTTCATACCTGTCAGCTGATCCCACGGCGCAGGTCCCCAGAGAGGTCCAGGAAACTGTGCAGGACCTGTCTTAGAAGCCAAGGCAGTTACTGAGGGCTGCCCAGGTCAGGGGCAGGGGACTTGGACCTCACCTCTTCTGGAGGCTGTCCATGTCGCATTCTGAAAAGAGCATGTGTGGCCGCATTTGGAAATGCAATTGAGAGCTCCCGGATTAATGTGCAGCCTTAATCACAATGCATCCAAACGTAATAGCCCATCCTGTTGGTAAGTTCTTCCTTGTATCTTTCCCAAATGCCTCTTTCCCTAACTCCGTCCTCCTGTCCAATGTGACCCCTAGGAGAGGTGGAATGATTCTCATCCCCAAAGGCAGATTTCAACTTTTTGGGTCTGAGAGATCTGGATTCTCACTCCTATTCAGCCAGCTACAAGTGGCCTTGGGCAAATCTAATCTCCCAAACCTCAGTTTAAAAAAATATGGGTTATAATAATACTCCATTTTTCCTCTTGACATGCTGCTTAAAAAGATATGGGTAAAGAAAAAATACAAGAAGAGAAAAAGTTTAATTAAAAAAAGATTAAAATTTTATTCACTTTTATTTAAAATGTTAAAATAAGAAAAAATAATACTGCTTTTTGAAAAACAAACATTTATCAAGGGCTTGCTATTATGCCAGGCCTCGTGGAGGGCGCTTGGATGTAGTGGTGGGAGGCCCCGCCCTCAGGGAGCCCACCCTGCGGCTGTGTGGAGAGAATTCGATAAGACACACATTAGATGCACACATTCAACCCCGGCGTGGCCTGTGATAGTGGCTTGGGGACACAGGTTGTCATCATCATCATCATCATCCTGTCTCCAATGCCCTCCCTCCTAGGACAGGCAAAATAAACATGTTCCCACAAGTGATGATGCCAAGAACTCCTAAGACAGGAAACTTGAGCTTCAAAGTAAGAGTTTGAATCTTCTGGGGTAAAGGAAGAGACAGATTGGCTGGGAAAAAAGTAAGAGCATTTCAGGGGCATCAGCACCGGCGCCAGAATCACTTAAGAATAGTTAAGTCAAGCATGAAATTAACAGGGAGCAGAAGTCTGTGTTCCTTCCACTTAAATCTGTGGCTGGGCTTCAGGTTTGCTGAGATAAATGTCCCTCATGAGATCTCCTTGCACCTCCAAGAAAACATTATTCTCATGAGTGCTAGACAGTGCAGGCTCCTGGCACCATCCAGCCCTGACAATCTCTGTCCACGTGATAGTCTTCCATCCCTGGGCCAAGGCCACAAAGGTGTCCCCGGCTCCTGTGCAAAGCCCAGCCTGCCTCTGACCAACCTGCCCCACTGGCAGGACACCTGTAGCAGAGCTGGGTTGGGGTGGGACACAGGGCTTCTCACGGTTCTGCCCTACTCCCAGTTCAGCCCACCCTCCCTGACCAGTGCACCCAGCCTCCAGCGTTGGATCCTTGGCCACACCATCCTGCCTTCGTAGGCACCAGGGACCTGCCGTATCTTCACCAGGGCCAGCTGGCACAGCCTCTGCTGCATATCTCAAATGGGACCCCTGACCTTCCCCAAATAAGGGACCACAAAAGTTTGCAATTGCCGAAATACTTAAGTAATCATACTATTTTTGCACTGAAACACACCCAAGGAAGCAACATCACTTGGTCTGTCTGGGTCTCCAACCCACGGCCCCAGCACCCCCAGATGTGTGGATTACCTCACTCCTCATGCAAACGGTGAGCAGAGGCCGGAGCCTCCTGATAAAGCCACAGCTTCAGCCACTGCCCCTGTCTCCAGCCATCCCCAAAAGGTCCTTGCCTTCCCTGCCTCTGCTCCTCACGGAACTCCTTTCTAGGTCACTTTACTGGCACAATATACACCTCATCTCCACAGGGAGGTGGCAAGGCACCCACCCCAGGCCCTCTGTGTGCCCATGCCAGCCAGTTCAGGCTAAGAGAGGTTGCTGTGACAAATGGGCCCCGATCCCAGTGGCTGGTGACACAAGGGATTATTCTCACCTGCACTGAATGTCCACTGCAAGTTGGCCTCAGCTCCGCCCAGGGAGCACAGGCCACTGCCACTCAGCCTTCCCTGTCCAAAGCAGCCATCGCCCAGTCTGATGGGATGGGCTGTCCTGGGCAGGGACAGGGACAGGGACTCCTGGGCTGCAGCTGGCCTGAGCCTTTGGGCCCCTCCCCAGAGCCCCATGAGGAGGAGAGAAGTGACTCCACCACGCAAGTGTCGATGGAATTCTGGGACCAGGCGGGCAGTGACTTGGCAGTATCTGCAGTCCTCTGTGTGGGGAGCAGAGTGACCTGGGGCATCCCAAAGGGAATCCAGCTGTGGCCACAGTGGACAGAGAAACCCGTGGTGCTCAGTGGATGGCATGGAGGCAGGGTGAGCTCCAGAGTCCAAGGAGACTGGCCAGGAGGGGCAGGATGACCCAAAGGAGAGGGTGGGTGACCAGAGGAGGGGGTGGGGTGACCACAGGAGGGGTGGGTGGCCACAGGAGGGGGTGGAGTGTCCACAGAAGGGAGTGGGGTGACTGGGACCTCAGGCACCATCCCTGCTCTGTCAGCAGCCGCCTCTCAGCCTGGGAGGCCACCTGTGCCCCTCCCAGCCTTTCCCCAGGATTGGGGAGGACGTGCCTGTCCTGGCCGTGCACCTGCTGTCCCCATTCTTGGCTCTCCCTCCACAATCTGGAACTTTTGGAAGGTGGGCCAGCTGCCCACACACAGGGGCAGGGCTAGCTGTCCGAGCCCAAGGGCTGTTGCTCACAGGCGCTCCCTGGACCCGAAGGACTGTGGGGGCCATGTGCCCTGAAGAGGCAGGGTCAGTTCAGGGAACTTCAGCAACACAGTGGTTTGCAGCCATGAAGTCCGAGGTCCTCAAGCAGGATGAGGCTTCACCTTTAGTCCAGGCAGGAGCATGGGGCCCACGAGCCCAGCTGCAGGGGAAGGGAGCTGCACCTCACAGTTTTCTTTCTGGAGTTGCTTAGTGATAGGTTGTGGAGTTCAGGGGCTCTCAGTGACCCTGGAGTCCAGCATGACCTTTCTACAGTGGGGCTGCTCTGGCCCAGGGAGGGGAAAGTCCAGAGCAAGGTCACCAGAGGGTCAGGCTGCGACAGGACTGTGCAGGTCCCCTGCAGCACAGCCTGCGGCTCATACGGCCTGCCCCTCATCCGGTCCTGGGGCAGGGAGGAGCACGCTGGGCCCCCTGGGATTTCACAGGGTGAGTCTCGCAGCCCCAAGCCTCTAGGAAGCCCCTTAGACGTGCAGCAGAGTAGAAAAAGCCCTGGGTTCAGAGCCACACGTCTCAGAGTTTAACCTGCCTCTGCCATTTGTTGTTGCCTGTGTGGCCCTGGGGAATTGACTTAATCTCTGTAAGCATCTGTAAAATTGAGCTGGAGCTGCCTCACTGCACCCCTGCCTCACTGCAGGGGTGACGAGAAGACTACGCTGGCCTTTTCTGCCCCTCACTGGGCATCTGGGTTGTAGGTGGGAGGAGCATGTTTTATCAGTTCTGAAATGTACTTTCACAGCCCAGCATTTCGGAGTCAGGGCACCGCTGTGCAACTGACAGTCTTAACTTTCTCTTGCCCAGGTGGCAGCCCTGAAGGTCGTGTCACTTTCTGTACACATGCTCCTGGGAGCTTGGCTGGACGGCCACAGCCCTCAGTGTTTCATCATTGGACCACGAGGAAGAAGCGAGTTCTGGACAATGTCTGAAACGTTCTGCTGACACCTTCTGGTAAGATCGAGCATTGCAGAGCGGGCCCGGAAAAGGATCTGGAGAAGGACAGCAGGTGTTCTGCTCAGAAGTGCCACGCCAGCCACGCGCCTGCAGGCAGAAAGGACGGCGCCATGTGCAAAAACTGGATGTTGATGTCTCAGAGCCAGAAACTGAACACTAGCACCTTTCCCCCACCAACACCTTCCAACAACATTATTAAGGAAGAGAAACACACTGTTAAGAGAAAGGAGAGGCAGCTATTTCTTTTGCCCCAGCAACAAGGGGCAATGACCAGCAGGACACTCGCGTTCTCACCTCTCCTTTATGCATCTGGGGGATTTCATGACCTGGGAAGACAGCGGCAACCCATGAGAAGCATCACCCAGACTCAGCCGGTGCTTTTAATGCATATCTTTGCTTCAAACCAAATCAGACCCTTCCCACTTACATTGACTATATTCTAATCGTACAAATACTACATGAACATGTTCTGTTGTTTGACCACTTCGCCCGCGCTCACCGGCGGGAAAGCTGGCCCGCAGCGGCGCACAGTGCCGGCTCGCCTCGCTCTCTGTGATGAGGACAGCTTGAAAGCACTGAAGGCTTGTTTTACTCTACAGGCAGCTTTACTTGTCATGTAAATCAGAATAGGTAACATACACATATATGTTTTCCTTACGTTATTTTTAAATGTTCACAGTGTTATTTTGACAAATGAAAAATTAGAAAAGTCTTATCACGGCTGTCGGCTACAGTCGCTGTGCGTGTCCATCGGTGGCCGTTGACTGTAGCCGGCGCCCGGCTGCGCATGCTCATCTGTGGCTGTCGACTCCTGTCAGCACTGGTACCAAAGTGGCCAAAGGAAGGAAACTGTCCTCCACATGGCTGCCTGCTCCCGGGCACATAACCCAGGCCTTCTCCGAAGATGACACGGTAAGTGCTTGGCCCATGTAACCCTCCTGAGAGATTTCGCTTAATTTGCTTTTGCGTAATTTGGGCTTCTAGTGTGAGCGACACACGTGGCTAACATAGTGTCCTGTGGACCCGTGCTTCTGCAGCATGCATTGTCCACTAAATGTAGTCTTGGAGGAACTTTCCATATTAATGCAGATAGGACTGCCTCATTTCTAAACTGGGGAATAGCGATCATTTATTTACACTTTTCCATCCTGATAGACATTGGGGTTATTTATTTTATTTTATATATTTATATTGCTATTATAAACAGTGCTAAATAAACATCCTTGTATAGCCTGTTTATGCATGTGTATAGGAAGTGGAATATTTTGGTTGAGGAACTGCACATTTTAATTTTAGTACCTATGGCCAAATTGCCCTCTAAAAATGCTGTAGCCATTTACACTGCCATCAATACTGAGTATTTTCAATATTTACAATTTTGTCAAGCTGATGAGTGGAAAATGTATCTTGTATCTTAAGGTTGCACGTTTTTTCATGGCTCTTGGCTGTTTGCATTTATTTCCTCTTCTTTGATGTGTCTGTTCACATTCTCTCACCTCTGAGTTGTTGAGTTTTCCTTCCTGATATATCAGGGACTGTTTTGCCTGGTATAGATGTGGCCTGTGTTGCCTCCACACCATGACTTGTCTTTTAGGTTGACAATTAGTGTCTTTTATTCTAGAGAAAGTTTTTGTTTTTAATTTGATAGGGTTCAATTTATGAATCCTTTATTTCATAGATTTTGTAATTTGTTTCTTAAGAATGACCTTCCTACCTCAGCATATATCTTTTTATATATTCTTCACTTGTAAATATTTTTCTGAATGTTTTCTTTAAAATTATAACTTTGTTGGGAGAGTTCAGATCAGCACATCACCTGAATTTGCTTTAGTGTTGTGAGATAGCTATCTGTCTTTATTATGTCACAAACGTACAGCCAGTCAACCAAGTACCACTTTTTAAATAGCCCATCTTTATGTGTACAGGAAGTTCCTAAATGCATGGGCCAGTGTCAAAATGTATTCTTTTAAAAAGTGTTGGCCAGGCGCAGTGGCTCACGCCTGTAATCCTAGCACTCTGGGAGGCCAAGGGGGTGGATTGCTCGAGGTCAGGAGTTCGAAATCAGCCTGAGCAAGAGCAAGACCCCGTCTCTACTATAAATAGAAAGAAATCAATTGGCCAATTAATATATATATATAGAAAAAATTAGCTGGGCATAGTGGTGCATGCCTGTAGTCCCTGATACTCAGAAGGCTGAGGCAGTAGGATTGCTTGAGCCCAGGAGATTGAGGTTGCTGTGAGCTAGGCTGATGCCACGGCACTCACTCTAGCCTGGGCAACAAAGCGAGACTCTGTCTCAAAAAGAAAAAAAAAAAAATCTGAATGTCTATTCTACATGTTTATTCTTACATATTGTTTCAATTATAATAGCTTATTACATTTTCTTTATATCATAGAGAATCCCTACCTCATTTTTTCCTTTTCATACCTGTCTTTACTATTCTTGCACATGTTCTCCTTTAAATGTTAGAATCTGCTTGTCAATTTCATAGGGAAAAATCCTGTTTGATTGTAATTGATGCTGAATTTAAATTCTACACTGATTTGGGGAAAAAGCTGACATATTTAATTGTCCCATCAAGGAACACAGCATATCTTTCTATTTATTCATTCGTTTTTAATACATTTATTAAAAATTGTATTTAAATACTAAAAATGTATTTTAAAAATACATTTATAGAAACCACACTTTATAATTTTATCCATATCAGTCCTGTCCTTTTTTTGTTGGGTTTACCCCTGGCTGTGTCGTAGTAGTGTTATCACAAATGATATTTCTCTTTTATATATTATAATTCACCACCTCTGATAGCTAGGAGGGCTTGGCATGGATAGGCAAGTCTCACCACATAGTTGAATTTGTCCTAATTATTCTCAAAGTTTGCTAATTCAATTTTCTAGGTAGAAAGTCACATTGTTAGCCATGGGTGGTGGTACACACCCATAGTCCCAGCTACTCGAGAGGCTGAGGCAGGGGGATCACTTGAACCTAGGAATTCAAGGTTACAATGAGCTATGATCACACCACTGCCCTTCAGCTGGGGCCACACAGCGAGGCTCTATCTCTAAAAAAAAAAAAAGAAAGTCACATTGTCTGAAAAAAAATGACACTGCGTTTTAGGATAAACCTTTTATTCTCTTGTCCATTTCTTTCTTTGTATAGTTCTTAGTCTACTAGGGTTTTCTCACTCATTTTGATACTTCATATTTCCTTATAAGTTTCTGCATGTTGCTTTTGACTTCAAACCTTTCATCACATATATTGGACTACTGTAACTTATTTTGTTTTCAGTATCCTTTTTTGTCTTTCTCCACTTGTGGCTTGTGTTTTCTCTCCTTTCCTCTGGAAGGTCTGCTCAGTCCGTGTACAGCCCTTCCCAGGGCCTGACTGGGTTTATGGTTTTTCCTACTGAATATCTGATTTCTATTCATTACTTTTTGCTTTCTTCATTATCAATCACTTTATTCAACTTTCTGGGCTTGTTTTGGTGTTCCTATTTTTGAACTAAGAGAGTAGTTCGTTTATTTTTAATGTTCTTTTTCTTTAATAAATGCATTTAAGGCTCTATGTTTTCTCTGGATACTGCTTTGAAAACATTTTATTTTATTTTATTTTATTTTATTTTATTTTATTTTATTTTATTTTATTTTGAGACAGAGTCTCACTTTGTTGCCCAGGCTAGAGTGAGTGCCGTGGCATCAGCCTAGCTCACAGCAACCTCCATCTCCTGGGCTCATGCGATCCTCCTGCCTCAGCCTTCCGAGTAGCTGGGACTACAGGCATGCGCCACCATGCCTGGCTAATTTTTTGTATATATATATTAGTTGGCCAATTAATTTCTTTCTAATTTTTTATAGTAGAGACGGGGTCTCGCTCTTGCTCAGGCTGGTTTCGAACTCCTGACCTCGAGCAATCCGTCCACCTGGGCCTCCCAGAGTGCTAGGATTACAGGCGTAAGCCACCACACCTGGGCAACAGCTATCATCTTGACTGGATCTCAAATGTCTTGTCACTCTGTGGCAAAGGACAGACTTGCAACTTGCTTGATGCTGGTGCTGGTGAATTGCTCTGCTCTGGCTGGGAGTTTTTAATCAGCTTCATCAGAGTAAGCAAACTGCAGAGAGATGGTTGATAACAAAACTTTGAAAATTGGGAAAAAAATCAAGACTTTTGTTAGTGGTTGCCCTACAGTTTGCACTAGATATTTACAGCTAATCCAAGACCACTTTCAAATAACACTATATCGTTTCACAGGTAGTTAAAGCCCCTTATAATGACAAAATATTCCTAATCCCTTGCTCCCATTCCTTGTACCATTGCTGCCATTCATTTCACTTACACATATACACACACACAGACACAAACACGTATGCAAGCACACATAATCCAACCCGTTATGTGTTGCTATTATTTTGAAGAAACTGTTATCTGTTAGATCAATTAACAATAAGAAAACTAAATGTTTTTATTTTACCTTCACTTAATTCATTCCCCAGTGCCCTTCCTTTATATAGACCCAAGTTTCTGACCTATATCATTTTCCTTATATCTGAACTCCTTTTATTAATAACATTTCTTGCAAGGCTGATCTGGCAACAAATTCCCTCAATTTTTATTTGTCTTCCTCACTTTTGAAGGATACTTCACAGGGTACACAATTCTAGGTTGGTGGTCTCTTTCTCCCAACACTCTAGATATTTGACTTCATACATGTTTTCTGCCTTGTATGGCCTGTGAGAAGGCAGATGTAATTCTTACCTTTGTTTCTCTATAGGTAAAGTGTTTTTCTTCTCTGAATTTTTTCAATATTTTTTCTTTATCTTTGATTTTCTGAAGTTTGAATATGATATGCCTAGGTATAGTTTATTAATTAAATTTTTTGCATTTATACTATTTGGTGCTGTCTGAACTTCCTGGATATGTGCTTTGGTGTTTGGCATTAACTTGGGGAAAATTCTCAGTCATTATTGCTTTAAATATTGCTTTTGTTCTCTTCTCTCCTTCTTCTCTTTCCAGTATTCCCATTATGTGTGTGTTAAACTTTGGAGTTGTCCCACAGTTCTCATGTATCGTGTTCCATTTTTTTCAATCTTTTTGTCTCTTTGCTTTTCAGTTTTGGAAGCTCCTATTGTCATATCCTCAAGCTCAGAGATTTTTTCCTCAGCCACAACCAGTCTACTGATGAGCCCCTTAAAGGTGCTCTTCATTTCTGTTACGGCATTTTGATCTCTAGAATTTCTTGTTGGTTCTTTCTTAGGCTTTCCACTTCTCTGCTTACATCATCTGTTCTTGCATGCTGTCTGCTTATCCATTAGCGTGCTACCATATTACTCATAGCTGTTTTACATTCCTGCTCTGCTAATTCCAACAGCACTGCCATATCTGAGTCTGGCTTTGATGCTTATTTAGTCTTTCAGAGTTTGCCTTTTAATATGCCTTGTTGTTTGTTGTTGAGCTCTGGACATGACGTACAAGGTGAAAGCAACTTCAGCAAATGGGCCTGTCGTGGTGCCTGTGTGGAGCAGGGACGTGTCCTACAGTCCTATAATTAGGGTTCAGTCTTTGGTGAGCCTGTGCCCCGCACTGGAAACATTGCCAGCGTTTCTCAGCTGTTTTTTATTTTTCCCCTAC